TCTCCCCCTTCCCCTTCCTCTTTTCTGCCTCTTCCTCTTCCCTGTTTGCTTCTCAGGAACATCCCCCCTCACCCGTGTTTTACTCGGTTCCTATCCTATTAGAGCGCAGGCATCGGCTCTTCTTTTCATCATGCTGCTGCAGGTTGTCTCCCGCCGTCTTTACCCTGGGTGTCCTGTCTGTATGGAGCGTAAGAATCCGGGCAGATACAGGCGATTGCCGAGGCGTTCTATGCTATGGAAGACGGATTGCTTGGGGTGTCTGGAATGACTGTGATGGATAACTGTTTTCTCCTCCTCTCGTGTTTAGCGGCTTTCTCATTCTGTCCCGTTTTCTCTCTGTGCTCCCTCTCTCCTGTTGTCGTCTCTGATGCGCACTCTGTTCATGTCGTTGAGCCCGCGCCTTCGTCTGTTTCCCGGGCATATGTATTTCCAAGGGCATACTCACACTAGCACTTTCCTTACTTATTTTTGGACGCTATTGCGGCCAGATACATCCAAGCAGGGCCGTAATTAAGTGAAGATACATTCAAGATTGTTTTACTGTGAGTATGCTCTAAAATAAATTATAGTGTGACTAAATGATGAACGAGACGGGGATAACACTGAGGGCCTTGGTTCCGCTACTCAACCAAATGTGCAAAAAATGAGAATGAATCTTCCGCTTAAACATGGGAAGATACCCCGCCATCTTTTAAATCGTTTTGGTGGAGCGACACCCCCTTTATCTTCGTGAACCCCCAATCGATTTGTTGTGGAGGTAGGGGAGGGAGGCTTGTACGGAGTACGGTGAGCTAAAGGGGTCACTTCACTTCGCGTTGATGACCCGTTTACTCAGTTGGCCATTTCCCTTCCTCTCTCCCTTTCTTCTCCTCCCTCCCTCTCGCCCTTCTCCCCCCCCCCCCCCCCTCTCTCTTTGTTTTCTCTCCTTCCCTCCATTCCTCCCTCTTCTGCAGGAGTTAAGACCCTTGCCATGCGGGAAAAGGGAAGGGGACTGAAATGAGAAATAGCTAGCGGGAGTGATTGGGGTTTAATTTTTTTTAATTAATGAACAGTTCAAAGTGGTAGCCAGCCATTCTCCCTTCTTTCGTCTTTTCTTCTCCTCCCTCCCTCTCGCCTTTCTTCCTCCCTCCTTGATTTCTCTCCTTCCGTCCGTTCCTCCCGTTTCTCCCTCTGACGACTTGGATGGCTGCCATGCGGGAAAGGGAAAGGGATGGGAAATAGAAATAACGGGAGGGAGTGGGTGGGTTTAATGACCCGTTCAAAGTGGAGGCCATTCCCCTTCCTCCTCCCTCTCGCCCTTCTCCCCCCCCCCTTCTCCCCCTTCCCCCCCCCTCTCCTTTATTTCTCTCCTTCCCTCCATTCCTCCCGCTTCTCCGTGTGGGAAAGGGACAAGGATGCAAAAGAGATATAGCGGGAGGGAGTGGGTGTTCATTACCAATTCGAATAGGTGCTCTCCCTCTCTCTCCCTCTCTCTCTCTCTCTCTCGGTCTTTGTGAATTTTTGGAATTGTGCCGTTGTTATCCGACGTGGAAATTTTGACCTAGGACAGCTGTTGACTTGGCACAGGGTTGAGAGTTAAGACGAACGTGCGTGCACGTGCAGAATTGGTTAACACGTGTCTATGGGGAGTGCCGGTCAATAGGGACTCTCGCTCCACTACTCTCCACATGCACAAACGACGAAAAATATGGCGCGTGCATCTTCCCATGTCTTAGCGGAAGATTCGTTCTCATTTTGCACGTTCGCAGAGTAGTGGATCGAGGCCCATAGAGTGCCCGATTACCGACCGAGTGTATGGACAAAATCGACTGATCAGTGCTCCCAAACGACGACGAGAAAAACAGAAATGGAGAGCCGTGGTCAACCGACGTGGAATGTTTGACCGAGGACAGCTGCTGACGTGGCATAGGAGGTTGAGGTCGTGCGCGTGCAGAAGTGGTTAGGTTGATTGTCTATGAAGTACCCTCTTACCGATCGTATGGAAACGATCGATTGATAACCGCGGCGAACGACGGGAAAAGCAGAAAAGGAGAGCGAAATGGAGAGCGATGGACGGGAGGAAGATTGGTGGAAAAGAAAGATGGGAGAGGGAAGGAGGAGAAGGGGAGGAGGAGGATGGCATGGACGGGCAGAGGATGATAAGGAAAGATGGCAGAGGATGGGAAGAGGAGAGATGGAGGAGGAGAGATGGAGGAGGAGAAAGGGAGGAGGAGAAAGGGAGGAGGAGAAAGGGAGGAGATCGGAACGAGGGCAGGTGAAGAGGGGATAGAGAGAGAAAGGCAGAAAGGCCCGGGAAGGGAGGGGGAAGGGAGGTAGAGAGAAGAAATGGGAGACGGGGAGGGAGGAAAAAGGGACGGAAGTAATGGGAAGGGCGACGAGTGAAAGGAGGGAGGGAAAGGATGGGGCAGGACGGGAGGGAAAACGAAGGAAAGCGGAGAGAGAGAGAGAGAGAGAGAGAGATTGGGGGGGCGTTAAGGAAGAAGAAGAGGTAATTATGTACGCCCAACAGGGAGAGAAGAAGGCGGTTATGAGGAGCACGTCGGTTTGGAAGTCGATTATGAGGGCCACGACGGTGGTTCCCGAACACACTACCGTCTTCCCTCGAATACAACGCACCCTTCGTTATGGCTGTACGGAACCGGAAACATAGCTTGCATACATTCATTGTCAGGTGCGTTGTGCTCTGGGAAAGGCGGTAGAGGGGGGAAAACGGGAATATAGGAGGGAGAGGGGGAGAACAAGAAAAGCATAAAAAGAGGCGGCGAGGATCAGCTGGCGCGGGAAGAGAGGACAAGGAAGAATCAGTAGCAAGAAAGCATTCGAAAGGAGAAGAAGATCGTGGAGGACGGGGAGAAGGAGAAGGATAAGAAAAGGGATAAGACGGAAAAAAAGCTTTCAGGAACGGTTGCAGTAGGACGTTTAAAGGAAGAATGAGGTAGAGGTATATGGGGGAGGACGAGGAGGAGGAGGGGGTCAGAAATCTTACGAATACGACAAGTACGGATAAGATTAATAATAATACAATAATAAAAAGAAGGAGAAGGAACAGAAGTGGTTGATCGGTGTTAGTTATGGAAGTATTAGTAGTGATACCAGTAAACGATGAAGAAGAAGAAGGCTGATCAGAGACGAGGAGGGGAAGGATGAACAATAGTAACAATAAATGGTATTAATATTAACAACAATAATAATCTAGGCTACCAGCCGGGCCGCCCGGATCACCCTATTTTCCCGGACGGCCCGGCCGTGCAAGGACCAGGGAAGGTCCTAGCGAAAAAAAAAAAAAAAATCCGGAAAAAAACTATGTTATGCAGAAAAATAACAATTTTTAAAGGCTTATTCTTTTTAAGCCCAACCAATTCAATTTACCTGTCGAATCTGGACAGGACGTCCTTTCAGGCCTTTTTTTTATTGTCATTATAGTATTACGGGGAACCCTGTAGCTGCCACATCCGTGCTCAAGCCTCCAACGAGGGAACATGCGGGAGCTGCACCCACCCACCAGCAGGTGGTGCGACACCTTCTGCTACAGCAGGTGGGCGATACCGGCCAGAGGTCAGCCTGATGGTAGCATCAGGACCGAGCTTCTTCTTCGATGGGCCAGTCGCTGTGCCTCCCCTCCGTCTTTGCCAAATTTAAAATACAAAATAAAGTAAAAAAATAATTTATTATTATTATTATTTTTTTTGGCACTGCCGGGCAAGTGGCCCCGGGCCACTCTGGTAGCCTAGATAATAATAATAATAATAATAATAATAATAATAATAATATAATAGTAATAATAATAATAATAGTAATATAATAAGAAAGAAGAAGAAGCAGCGTTGAAGGATGGGAAGAAGAGATAGCAGCAGCATGAGCGGCAATAACAGCGGCGGTGGTGAAGGCGCTGGCGGCAGCATCATCAGCAGCAGCAGGAGGAAGGAGGAGAAGAAGGAAAAAGAAGCAGAAGCAGCAGCAGCAGCAGAAGAAGAAGAAGAAGAAGAAGAAGAAGAAGAAGAGAAAGAAGAAGCCGTGGAAGACGAGGAGAAGAGGCGGCAATAGCTTGCGTCGCAGTAACGGCAGCAGTAAAAGAAGAAGAAGAAGAAGAAGAAGAAGAAGAAGGAGGGAGCGAGGAATTGGAGGTGGGGGGTGAAGGATACGAAGTAGAAACTCAGGAGGAAGAGGTGATGGTCTTGTGGAAGGTGCTAACGAATCGCCCTTAGCCAATCTGGAAGGCGATCGTGGAGAACGCAGGTGGCGCGCTTTACAAACGCGTTTACGACCTGACCTTCCTACTAGTCTGCTCTGCGCGTGCTCTTCACTGCCTGTGTGTGTGTGTGTGTGTGTTTGTGTGTGTGTGTGTGTGTGTGTGTGTGAGAGAGAGAGAGAGAGAGAGAGAGAGAGGTGATTGTACGCTGCTCGGCGTATAATTCGCGGCTCTGCCTTGGTCCTTACTGCTAGTGTAGTGGAGGAGGCATTAAGCCGGAGAGCT